GACTGCAACAAATTAGTCGGAACATTGTGCAATATCTCGTTGAGTCTATAGAATCTCAAAATCTGAACTACAAGATGAATCTTTGATATTTTTATAACACATCTATTATAAGACTTACAGAACATTGGGTGGATCTTGCGGCACATAAATCGATGGAGAAGAACAGGTGGTTGGAAGAGAAGATAAATAGAGTGACGAAAAAACCTAGATGTTAATTGTATTGATAAAAAAATATGAGTCCCAAGGCTCCATTTAGCTCCAAGAGGCAGGCTCATTACTAAATAATTATTATGGAAAAAAAGGCTCACATAATGCGATGATGTTCTAGTAAAAATTCAAAAAATTGTAAATGATTGAGCCTGTAGATCTTCAGGATGATTTGGTGGACTTGAGTTATTTTGTCTTTTTAACTATATATTCTACATGATATAAGGGGGCTCCTCGAGACTCTATGAATGCAAAAAGTTAGTCGGAATATCGTACACCTATTTTGGCGGAATTCTGAAATAAAACAGCAAAAGGTTGTCTTCCATTAATTCCACGTAATTAATATTGGTAGCCATAACAGATACGCATACGTATTACGCACTCATTCCCTAAGAATAAATCTACGGTCCTTATTCCGAGTGTCACTTCACGGATGATCAACCAATAATTTGTGTGATGTTAGAGAGTTTCTACCGGTTGGATCTGCATATAACTTTTCAGAAATAAAGTTTTGCGATTATTCGAACTAACTGTTTGAATATTTTGGTGCCACAATTATTGTTGACATGCTAAATAATGTTTCGAAAATGACCAATTTCCCATACATTTCCCATACAATTTATTTCTCCTACTTACATGATGCAATTGGTTCTTTCTTAGGCTCATGTTGTAGCATGATAATGTGGCTTCAAAACACACATGATATAGAATTCCTCTGATTCTTAGATTTGGGAGGAGCCATGGTTTTTAAAGTGTCCTTCTATTAATTTCCACTAGTGTAGAACGCTGACGATGCATCTTTGACTGAATCGATGGCTTTCAGTTTCCTCAGATGATGCACGCTCGCTCCGTCTACTTACCACCGTCACCAGTGGTTCATCCGAGTCCTCATCATACTCAAATCCAGTAGAAGTTGTTGTTCTGTCGGAAATTGAAAATGCCTCCTCCGGAGAACGTTCTCGCTCGGAGCTTCGATTCAGTAGCCGAGGCTGTTGCTTATTAGGTTAAGTGTAGTCTTTTTCCGAGAGAATTTGGGAGCAACGAACCGAGAATCTCAGATGCCAGATTTTTTTCTATGCAATTGCGTAGACTTATTCAAATCTACCGATTTCTACGGATTTTTTTTTAGTCGAAGGTGATATATATTTTTTAGTTCTAAGGTGATATCTTACGTAAAATGATAAATCGATGAAAGAACTTTTGAAAAACTACTAGGGACAGTCCGCTGGGGTTATACGCAATGGTGCCGTCGGATTACGTTATCTTATATAATAAATGATATTTCTTAACTGTAGCAGGACTTGTGTTTTGTGTAGGAATAGGAATTTGAGCGGGGTTCTCTCTGTTTATACTCTTTAGTATGACTATGATTGCCATTAAAAGAAGCTATTGATATAAATTTTAGTTGGGCCATGTTCAGAAATTTAACTCTATTTTTCAAAAAATCTTGGTGGACCTGAAAAGGGCCGATGGTAGTACAGGCATGAATACCAAGATACTGTTGCACCTGTAGTTTTTGGCATACTTTCACTGATTGCTTCCCGGGGATCCTTGTTCAGCCATAGCAAGATGTGCGCGTGAGAACTTCCACGGTGCTGAGATTCAGTCGTGTCAACCAGCTTGTTGAAGTACACACAGCACGTGACTGGATCATGATTGACCAGAGTTGCTCTTTGTAGTGCAGTCAATTCCTGGATAGGATCTGTTAAGTCATTGCCATTGTGTCCTTCTGACAATCGATAAGATTCAACAAATGGGGCCACTTCATCTCATTTGCATTGAGTGTGACGAACATCGTAAGCTTTCCCAATTGTCGCATTATGGTGAACGCATTTCTCTTCCTTTGTTGCCAATACTGTACTGTATTCGGTATTGATTTGAGGAAGGATATATTTCGCTCAATGCACTGCTCCATGAATAAGGCGGTCCTTAAGGTTGACCCGTGTAATGTTTGCGGTCCCCGTGCACTTAAAAGTGCATTGCAAGCCTTCGGAAACTGTAAGGCGATGAACTTTCATTGTCATTGTACAACAAATGTTGTGGTTTGGCCCAGTGTTGGGAAAATATCAAAAAATCAAATCTCACCAACGCCCAAGATCACGCTTGATTTTCGTAGACAAAAATTAACAAGCAAATAACTGCGGTTGATTTTGCAAGCTGTGATATCGCAGCTCTGAATATCAAGCTAACAAAACTCACCAGTTGCAAATCTCAACAAACTGTGGTGAGATTGAGTTTCATGATTTTTGTTTTACACCCGAATGCAACTGAAACTTCCATAACGGCTGGCAGCAGTCACTTCGTGTCTGCCATGGGTGAAGAGTAAAAAGAGATAGCAAACTATACTTTCTCTTTCTAAGAAAACGATGTGCAACGGTATCATTTTTGTGTTGAGTCAACTCTCAGCTTGATTTTTGCACGTTGTGAGTAGTCTCGCAATATCAAAGGAGCTTGTAAAATCAATATTAAGTATGTTGTAATCTAATAATAAAGCCACGCTTTAACCGTACTTTCTTATGGATTACGTGCTTTTTGATGAAAACGTTGAAGGCCTGATCATCATCGAGTTGACGGGGAAGAGAGCGTCGTCTCTCTTACACAACGCAAACGGTAGAACTAGAGTCGGTGTATAATGAGTCACGCCAAGAGTGAAGCCAAGTCTACCTATTGAACTGTCAAACCGGCTACCTATCGTGCAAAGTAAATAAGCATTACGATGCTATGAAAGGTCCACGAAAGGTATTGCAATTAAATATAAAATATAATCGAACAAATGATCATAAACACACAGTGAGCATTACATTTTTCATGCGATACGTTTTGTAATGGTCAGTAGTGAGAATTTCTACTATTTTTCGTTAAGATAAATTGACAAAATCACTAATTTAATGATTTACTACAGCCGTTACTTTTTTTCCTCGCTAGAAGTCATTTGAAGTTGATGTAGAAGTCCTCTGTTGCCAAGTGAAAAGAAAGGGAATCTTTCGAAAACCGTGATGCGAGTTCAACTGTTTTTCTCTTGGCGTGACTCATTATACACCGACTCTAAGTAGAACAACATACGAGAAAAAAGAAAATTATCAAATAACTATAATATGACATATGTGATTTCGTTCTAATTCCTCAATTTGGTGTAAATTAAACCATTTCTGATCAGAAATGTTATTACTAAGACATCGTTGCTTGCTATTTTCAGAATTCACACAAGCACAACATCAGCAGCTCTTATTATGAGAAAAAATAAAATACATACATTCGTGACGGCTTTCGGCAACAGTGTCGTATGACAGAGCCTGTCGTATGACATTTTAGTTTGGTACTGTAATTGGAAAGCTTGTTTTGCAAGTTTCGCAAGCAAGGGCAGTCGATTATAACAGAAAATGTGTCGACTACGGTGACCGCTTACAAGACTGGTCTCGACACGACTTTTATTCGCCTTCACATGGCACCGTCAAAAATTTTTCTCTTCAAGCAAAGATTGACAGTATATTATGGTAACTTTCGGCGGAGTGAAGAGATAGTACGAAGGCCACCATGTTTCACGCACAGTCTGATGTTTGCTTAGGGAGCATCCATAAATGACGTAGCATATTTTTGATCAATTTTAGACCCCTCCTCCCCCCTCGTAGCGTATTTGGCTATATCCAATACATGGCCGGTCACAAATTCTGAAACCCCCACCTCCCCCCTCAAATGCTACGTCATTTATGCATGTTCCCTTACGGGATATTTCATATGAGGGAAGAGCTATAGAGTCACCGCCAACGCCAATTCTATCAAAAAGCGGATAAGTGAGCAAGAAAACGGTTGAAAAGCAGCAGTGTATTTTACTTTATGCTTCTTTGCCTTCAGAATCAGATTATACTTGTAAAATTCGATTCTGAAGGGAGACGTACACTGAAGAAAAAATCCGTAGATACTGTACCGAATTCCGTAGATTTTGCCTACGGATCTGTAAAAAATCACGGATCTGTAATTGCCTACGGATCTGTAATGACACACGTGAGGCACACTGCGAAAAAAGTTGACGCAAAATAAAAGTGGCCAAAACCATTTGTGACGAAGGAGACGATGAGCACTGAAATTTACGTTTGGGAGTGTTTGACTCGGCGTCTGCGGCCCATAATCCGCACTATTTTGGTCAGATTTGGTGTCAATGCACTACCCGAAAGACACGGTAGCTTGGTACAAAGCAAGCAATGTATAATACGTGCCAAAAGAGATGAATCCTGCGAATTGTCCGGAGCCCCTGTCAATCAAAACTTTTAGGGCCCTTTCCTAGAACCGGAAAAACTTTAAGACTGTGAATTCAATCGAAGAAATTGAAAAAGCCTGGACAAAAGTGATCAAAATAATCGCTAAAGCTCATGGGCAGCGTCAGATCAAAAGTTCGCTCCTTGGAATACGATTAAAGGAACTGCGGATTATTTTCATCCAATTGAAAAAAAAAATTGTATAGAGAACATATAGGGTGGGTGAGCCAGTAGTGGAGGTACTAAGCCAATTTATGAATTAAAAAAAAAAAAAAATTGATGTACACACAATTGTTATACGTCAATCAATAGCTTTCAACCTCTATTTTGATTGAAAAATATTGCATTGTAATAAAATTGCATAAAATTTTAGAAAGATCGTCCTCCATTAATAGGAACACTGTTCCAGTAGTTGTGGTAGGGGAAACAGCCCTATTGTTGCGGTACGTTAGCAGCGTTAGAAGCCTATTGTTGTGTATGGAGGCTTCTAACGCTGCTAACGTACCGCAACAATAGGGCTCTTTCCCCTAGTTGCTAACTTTAGTTTCTTTAATAGTGGAATGCGTTGGTTTCTTATGGGTTCCACTATTTTAGGAACACTACCGCAACTATAGGTGCAAAGGAGTGAAATTTTTAAGGAAAATTAATTATTTTCCGTCACTTTTGGGCATATTTTAAGTTTGAAATATGCAAATATGCTTTATTTTAGGTGAGCTACCGATGAAAAATAATATTATCCGGATCCTCTTCACTATTCCGGCACAACCTCCATATCGCAACTATAGGTACACTACTATTACTGGAACACCTACCCTTTATGAAATAAAAATTTGAGTTCATTAACAGAACGTTGTTTTATTCCAATAAAAAAGGGCTTATACTATCTGGGACACCCTATACTCATATGAAAATGCGTTTACTGATCATGAGAATGGTTTCAATAATTAAATTCAAAATCTTCCAGAATATCAGTTATCTTGCAAAATAGGATGGTTGCCTTTTTCTCTAGATGATGATATAAGCTGTTGCATATACATCTGATTACATGACATCCCTGGGAGCACTTGACATTAAAGCCCTTAATCAAACGATTGGGAGTGTGCCAAGAGCAGTTCCAATCGAACTGTCAATAAGCATTGCTTTGCTAGATTGGAACAACATTTCTCAGTTCTCTGAAGACTGTCGTTCACACGTTTTCTAGAGGGCTTTACTCAACACAACTCACTCTGACTCTGACGGGACATGAACATATCAACATTAGAACCTTGGGCTGAATCCGTCTCAATCTCAAAACAAATTTGTCTACCTATGAAGAAAATAATCGCTTTATCAAAACCCAAGTACACTGATCCCACCCAAAGCTATAGTCATATATAATGCTCAATCATCTTTTGTAAGCTTTATATCGTCAGCTCCCGCTCACTACGTCATGCAACCTTCCACCATTTGACACCTTCGAGCAGTTCCATACCAAATGACGAATCGATCAAACTTTACCTTCTCCGATTTGCATGAAACTTTGATTGAACAATTTTTTTTTATGGGCAATCATACAAATTTGTGCTAAAATTGGCCACTTCGAACCTTTCAATTTTCTTTTCTAAATGGCGTAGTGGAAATGTCAGCCCATACATAAATTCAGCAATCGGCTTAATTTTCAATAGCGACCAAAATATCCATGAGTTCATCTAGATGAAATTGATAAATAGCAGATTTTTAGCGATGGACCCAATTTTAGATCCATAGGCCAACATTAGAGCCATTTACCCTATCTCACAAATTGACGAGCACCGTAAAACAAAAACTTTTGGTAAAATATTTGAACTTCTTTTCTATGCAATATTTGTGTTAATTTTGCTCAGAAAACGATTAATAAGGTTTGAAATATTGTTTCCTGTGCAAAACTAACAAAAAAAAAACTTACGAACAAAAATTTTAAACATTTTACAGGGGATTTTTCTTATGATTTTGGTTAATTTTTATGCGTTCAAAGATATAAATATTTCAAAAGTTTGTATTTTGTACAAGCAATTTTAAAAGTATACAAATGTGTTTTCTTGTTATAACACTTTTAAAATTTTATTTTTCCAAAAAATTACTAAGAAAAATTAACCGTGTATATGTGTCCCAACAACTTTGTCTCACAACGTGAATTCAATTGGAAATAATGTTTTCATGCTATAATTTATTTAAAAATTATAAAAATGCAATTCTGAAAAAAAAAACTTTCAAATTAACCGAATTTTAACACATATGCGAATGATTGCTCATAACAAACAATTATACAAAGTTTCATGCAAATCGGAGAAGGTCGAGTCAAACATATTTTTGTTTTGTACTTTGCCCTGGAACTACTCCTTTCACCTTCACCCTCCACCCCTCGGAAACCCACTCATCTCGTTTACTATCGCTTCTTGTTTCAGCTTTTCGCAATCGGCTTACAGAGAGTGATAATAGCTGCCAAAAGTAAATGTGTTTACGTTACAACTTACCATCCGCTGGCCCTTGATGAGGCCAAAAGAGTTTTGCTATCCTTCCTATTTCTGCGACGAAGTGAAAGTTTTGTGTCAATTTTTATCACTGAAAGACTTACCTAGGCGTGCTCTTGCTTCAGGACTTCCGTGAAAAATAAATCTTTTGAGGGTATAAAAAAGTTTGATCCTTTCGAGGAAGAAGCATTCATATCGAAAGTAGACCAAAGCACAGTGCTTATGCCTGGTTATCACATCAATTTGCTTCATTTCGTGTTTTTTTTTTTACTTATTGTGCTCCTTTGATATAGGCAATGTCTTGTTTGCTTTTTCTGCTTTTTACCATCTTTTGTTTAAGGCTACACATATGAGATTCTGTTAATGTTAAATTAAAAAAAAAGGATTTGATTCTATCGAGTCTTCTGTTTCGCTATAACACTTTGTTTTCAATCGTTTTTGTGAATTTAAACATTTGTTATGCCTATTTTTTTCAGTGACATCGAACATCATTTTGTGCTAACATTTTCTTAGTCTTGTTTTTAGTATTTATACAATTAGTTTAATTTATCTATTTAGTTAGTAGATCGTCATCTTGATAGCGTTTTTTTCTCTCAGGGTGGGTTTAATTTGACTGTTTTTGTTTGGCTAGGATATTAATAAGTTTTAAATTGTTATGTGATTGATTGATTCGTTCTTGTGGATTTATTTTGATAAATTAAACGAATGTGTGCTTGAAAATTTGTACGAATGATAGAAAAGTTTGGCATACTGATTTGTCGTTTGATTGATTATTGTTAAAGCTAAATGGCAACACTTTTCATTTGGTTCAGTAACCATTTTGTAATTTAAAAAAGCGGCCTCTCTCAATCGTTCGTAATTACTGCTCGAATTGCTGGCGAATAAGCTTCATGATTTCTGGCTGCCAATCTCCGTGATAACCAATACAATCTTGATTATTCCAGGGGGTGCCTTTCTTGAATGCATTACGGGGGTTATCCGCAACATCAATACCTACAAAATGCTGAATTTCCTGATGTCCTGATGTCAGTATCAATTCACACAATTAGAATACCAATATCATTCGCCTTGACATTGACATCGTAAAGGGACCACTGATATTCAAAGTTCTGCCGCAAATGCTTCTTATATACACCAGCTAATCGAGTACCGATCTTTAGAAAATTCCTCCGTAATATTAAAACAATGCATCGGTTATACAAAAAAGTTAATTTATTGAAACAAATGTAAGATTTCCAACTTTTCCTTAGTGATATTAATATGGATAGCAATAGCTTGACCGCCTGATATTATGCTTACCAAGAATATCAGTGTAGAAAGTGAAATGCAATGTTAGACCAATATCTTACGTCAATTGACATTGTTGGCAGCACGCAGCACTGCATATGACAGCTCATGAACCATTTGTTAAAAAATTAAAGTTTGTTTAGGGTGTCTTATGAAGTTGTTTGTTTCGGTATCGATAATTGGTCCCCTCCATACCCCTACGGAGGTGGCCAATACTGTTTATGTCATATCTAGCACAACTACAAAGCCTGTCAGATGAGGTATTCCTTGCTTTGAATATTGTATTACATAGCCTTATCGAAGATCGTTTCCATCAATCGTACAAACTTACAAGATCTTCCGATTCAAAAAATTACTCAACCATAACCAAATTAACAAAAGTTCAGTTTTCCTACTTCATCACTGGATCATCTACCAACTGATTTGTATCATGTTCGCTACTTTCTTCTTATTTATGTTTTACGAATCTACCCTACAGATCTCTACCACACAAACAATTTGAATTTATGTTCTCACTTTTCGTTTCAAATGTTGACATTAGCCTTTTTCTTCTCGTAAAGAATGACCCGTTCTTTCCAACTTTGCTGTATCTTCCGATATCTCCGATGTCTCATGCGTGGTTTCATGAAACAGTGTGTGATTTCATTTGGTGCACATTTTTATTGTCATCACACCAAGTCAGCGTCCATCAATGATTACCTGTTCATACATTCCGATCGGCAACCAAGGTGAACTTTCCGCTCTTCAAAAGAATCACTACGGCCACCAATTCTGTCCGTTACGATTTTTAATTCGCATAGCCATTAGCCAGTAATGGATGACACATCGACTCCGCCGACGCCACATCGATTTAAATTAATTAAATTGGCAAAAGGTATAATGGTAAAAAAATGTTTCCCAATAATTAGTACACATAGAACACTCATGTGGCGCCCTCTCTCGAGTGGTTACCGGTATAACGCAGAAAAATCCGGTGATGAAAGCTTCATTGTCTTGCTTCCGCTCGTGTAGAGTGATTTTGCGTTGCTGGTGGTTCTGGTTGGGCTGTCGGTAAAATATAATTCAATTTCAATTTTATTTAATTACCGCCAGGGTAAATGTTGAGCTGTATGGGTTCATTGTTGACACTTTTGGGCTTGTTCCGGGGGATGGATGGCTGCACTCGGGTTAAACGCTGGGGATGGCAAAGAAAGAGATAAAGCTGATGCTATTCATTTCCGGCACATGATTTATTTTCTACTGGCATGGGCTTGATTAATGATATTGGCTTTCGAGTGACGAGTGGTGCGAGCGGCGTTATAATAATTAAATTTTGATAAAGTAAATCAATATTTCACGCTGATGATAGCGCTATTCAATTATATATTTTCATATTCCCAAATCATATCGAATTGGAAGAGTCTGCTAGAGGACATATGTATAAAGGGCTTATGGATAGAGTCAACAAATGACCGTCATTACGTTGGTCGATTTTGCACCACCCAGCTCAGATCAGGTCCTGATAATTCTCCCAAATTTTTGAGCTCATTTGCAGCTCAGATATAAAACTGAACTGGCCATGTGAACTTTATGTAAATTAAAATTACTATGAAAAACTGCCCCCTCGTCCTAGCATTTCGCCATAATTGGTGTTAAAATACAATCTGGGGCATCACGGGAAATTTGACACATATTTCATTTCCCGATTCTCTGGTATCGGCGTTAGTTTCCCGGAAAATATGTATTTGTTTACAAACGGTTTGCGGATTATCTAATCTAATCTAATACAAACGCAGCCTAGGTTGGATAAAGGCTAATACATTTTCTTTTGAATATTGATGTTTGCAGCATATCTGAGATATGACGCTGTTGAATCGCGTCATCGGACCACAGTGTCAAATACCAATTAGAATGTTATAAAGAGAGAGAGAGAGAGAGAGAGAGGGGAGGATTAGTAATTTCCATTTAATCCCACTACCTTATTTGATAATCCTTGGCAGATATGCGTATTTCGTCTAAAATGTGCAGACTTCTTCAGTGTCTTGTACTAATACAGTGTCTTGTACTAATACGAGTCGAGACGTAGTCAATTCGAAATATCGCGAATTTTTTAAAAAAATTTCATTTTCAGGCAGGTTCCCGGAAAAAAAGCTTTATCTGACCACAACACGGAGTGATGAACTCAGTAAATACAAGTTTGTTCTCGTCGATACATTCTTCCGGAAACTGATGACCTACCAAAGAACCACCAACAAAACGATGAAATTGAAGTTGTATAAGCAAGAGTGCCTGAAGAAATGAATACTACCTCTCATTAAGGCTCACAAAGGATCAGTGAAGTTCTGGCTAGATTTGACAAGTGGCCACTACAGTCGGCAGAAGCTACAGTGGTACCGCAACATTAACGTGGATTTCGTCGACAAGAATATCAATCCACTCAACTGCCCGTAATTCCGTCTAATCGAAAAGTATTGTGTAACTATCAAGCGGAAGATAAAGAAAACTGAAAAAACGACTCGGCACGCTGCACAGATGGCTCGATGTTGAAAAAAAAAAAAAAAAAATGGCAGCTGAGGTTGACCAGTCCAGTGTGCGGCAGATGATGGCGGGAATTCTTAAGAAAACCGTCGGAGTAATTTTGCAATATTTGTTTTATGAGAGTACAATAAAATACCTTCATTTTGACTAAACTAAATTTTTCTTACGTCAAATCAATCCCGAGAAACACCTGGTTTTATGTGTCCGGATTCTAAGTGGACCGGACTTTATAATGAACTCATTTGTTCGTTTCAGTTGTATGTGACAGCAAAAATTAAAAAAAAAAAGTTATTCTGCTACACTGGTTTGAAGCGATAGTTATTGCGTGTGAGGGTAAATGGTAAAAACAGACCCTGTCACGAATAGTGTGATTTATTTCGACATTACAAGAAAAAAGTTGAGGTTTGTGTCCAAAGCACGACCGCATTGTTGACGTAGAACTACGAGATTATTTTGCTGTTCCGTTCAATAATATTTACATGACAAAATAAATGGTTTAGAAATTTATAATAAAATTCGAAACCCTTGATATTTTTCACGGATGTCCCTTGGAACTTTCATTAGAATTCTTTTTTAATTATCTTTCTAATTCACTCAGAATTCAATACTCTCGGAATTTCTTTAAAGTTCTCATAAGAAATCTGTTTACATTCTTCTCGGAATTTCTATAGATTATTCATTAGAATTTAAGCTGTAATCCTCTTGAGAATCGTCATGCTATTTCACACAGAACCACCTAATAATTCTACTTTGAACTTAAACAATTGACTTGGCGTTGTAGTCAAAACTTTATAAAAATAACTTCCAAAAACTCCATTGGAATTTGTATTTTACATACAATTTCCTCCAAATTTCTTTGGAATTTTCATCAAAATTATAGAAAAAGTTCTTCAAAGTGATTGTATCCGGAAAATCTAGTAGTTGAGAAGATTATTATTTTCCAAAGAGAGGACGATGTATATTTTCCCGGTTCATCATCGAAATTCACGGACTTCTCTCGGTGATTTAGAATTTCCGGATTTTTCCCGATTTCCCAGTTCACTGGTCATCCTGTGTCCAGTATACCGTATGCGTGATAATGTTTTTACCATTGAGCAATGTAAAAATTAAAAAAATTCTCAAGAATTTCGTTTGCGAGTTTTTTTTTATTTATTTAAAGGGGGATGTTTCTCAGAGATTACGGCCTCCACACGCTTCCGGAATGCACGGCAGGTTCTAATAATGTAGTCTGGATCCATTTCTCTCCAGGTACGGGTCAATGTTTGTCTGAGGCTTGCTGTACTCGGGTGGCGTTTAGAACAGGCTGATTGATGTTGAACTAAATTTAAGCTAAATTAATCCTAACTGAACTTAAACCTACTTAACCGAAATGAACTAACTAAATCCTAAACCTAAACTTAAAGTTAAATCATAATTCTATAAATTGAAACGAATCTAAAACTAAAACGGTATCACCCTAATCCTAAACCAGAGATGATAAGAGAAGAGAGTTGGAAACTGCGCGCATGCGCTACACACTGATGCCCACTTGTAGTGGTCACTAAGTACATTGCAAATAGGTAGGATAGAGGAGACAATTGTAAATATAGATATTACAAAATATACCGTCGGAAGCGATACATCCATTTTTCTGTCCGGTTGTCCGGTCGTGGAAGAAAAGGAAACAAGTGCAGTATTGCATTCAATTAAGTGGAACTGTGTTTTAAGCACAGCTTGCAATTCACTTATCTCCGATATCTCCCGAAAAAAATTAGTGCAATACAAGTGCATAAGGCACGACTTGTGGAAACACTGTTTCGACATACATCGACCAAATCTACGTTGGTGTTTTCAGCACAACAATCTTCTGGGCCATCGATATTTCACGACGGTGGAAAATCCTTCGAAAAGGAACGGGTAAGCCCCATCACAGGCCTTGGCCTTCATGACGCACCATATTGAGTAATCCAGCGGATTAAGATCGGGGCTGGATGGCGGCCACATATTCTTCGCCCAAAACGGAAGATATTTCTGCAACCACTTCTGAGTGCGGTTCGAGGTGTGGCACGGAGCTACATTGTTGTTGAAATACAACGACCGTACTGTTATTTGATCCACGGAAGAACATACTTACTTAAAATCCCGATGTAGACCTTCGTGTTGACCTTGTCGCCTTCGGGAATGAACACCGGGTCCATTTTTTTTTGCAATCGGAAGCCACCAATCCAAACACCATAACGCTAGCAGGATCAGGGCTCTACATTTTCGAAGCTCTAAAATGAACTCGTGTTTTTTTTCTCATTTTCGTGTTTTCACGTGAGAAATGTTTTAAATGTGTTATTTCATTTTCCGTCATATACGTCATGAAACCTCTGTTGATGTGTTTCATGAAAGAGAAAACTATCAAAGTCGAGCGCTCTTTCGCTCATCCGTTTCACCGAAGCTTGAAAGGAAGACCAATGGAGCGACGGGAGAAAGAGAGACAAGCGATTGAACATTTGTTTGTGCACGCCGACTGAGGTTCTAGAATGCTGCGAAGCTGTTCGACTTTAACAGAAAAAGAAAGCCAGCAGTCTCTTCGTCGCATCGATTTGGTCGATTGAAGCTGATATTGTGACACCCTGAGCAGGATGCTTGGTCAGATACACGTTCTTGAGCTCGTCGGCCACGTCTTTTACAGGAAAAGAACTAATATACCGGTAGGTTCTGGAATTTGATACGGGATCGACGGTAAACATGCTCTCGTCGGTGAACAGGATTACCGGATTTTTTCGCTTAAGGAAGTTCAAGATTTTCTTGCATCGTTCGACTCGTAGCTCCTGGATGCGATTGGTAATCATGTGAGTTTTTTTTCCGTGCCCTCGACTTCGCCCCGCAATCTTCCTTTACAATCTTCCGTGCCATAAAGTCACTGAATCTTCCTTTTGATAGCAGCGATAACCCTCGGAACCCGAGCTGACCTCGGATGACCTGTGGCCACCTTCGCGGATAGTTGTCCTTTCTTTTTTCGGTCTAAAACCCTTTTGACGGTCCACCGGGACACTTCCATGGCGATTGAAATGTCTTTTTGCGACATTTGAGCGTGGGACAAATCACGAATTCGCTGCCACTTTGTCCTGGTGCAACTGTCAAACTAAGTAAATCATTTTCTTTTATACACAGCCTACTACGGTATGAGCTATAGGTTACGTGCATGCAAAGAAAACCAAGGCATTGTATGCACAGGTGAAACGGGAACCTTATTTGTACGATGGTGCAAATATTATCACGAATACGGTACAATAGGTCTTATCCATTTAAATAACAATACTATAGATAGCAATCTCCTAGTCGAAAACGAAACTAGCTCAACGAGTAAGTAACTTTTTCTCATTCGTAAGGATACATTCCTCAAAGCGTTGGTAACTCAGCGCATGAGTAACCTACGTAAAAGCGACTCACTCTCTGAATAAGATTCGTTTACAGTGAATGTAGACTGCTTGAGCAAGCCTTTTGAATCAAATGTTACTAGCGCTGCATGGTAAGTGAATTCTGAACTAAGAGGCCAATCATGCGATTGTCAATCCGAATAATTTCACTTAAAACAGAAACCTGCTTTCTGGCCGTGCCAATATCCAATTTCGAGCTGAGATGGAAAGCTAAATACATTGAAAACGAAATTTACTTCGTTTGGAGATT